GCTCTTGTTACCCAGGCTGGAGTGCAATGGCGCGATCTCGGCTCACCACAACCTCTGCCTCCTGGGTTCAGGCAATTCTCCTGCCTCAGCCTCCTGAGTAGCTGGGATTACAGGCACATGTCACCATGCCCAGCTAATTTTTGTATTTTTAGTAGAGATGGGGTTTCACCACGTTGACCAGGATGGTCTCAATCTCTTGACCTCGTGATCCACCCGCCTCGGCCTCCCAAAGTGCTGGGATTACAGGCGTGAGCCACCGCGCCCGGCCCAATTCAATGATTTTTAAATTATATTTACTATTAAGCTATACAGCCATCACCATAAATCAGTTTTAGAACATTTTTACCTCTCCAATAAAATCTCTCATGACCATTTATAGTTAATCCATGTTGCTATCCCTGGCCCCTGGCAGTGACTAATCTGCTTTTTGTTTCTATGGAGTTACCTTTTTTGGACATTTTGTGTAAGTGGACTCATAGAGTATGTCTGGCTTCTTTCATCAGAATAAGGTTTTTGGGGTTCATTCATGTTATCGCTTGTATTCACAGTTTATTCCTTTTTATTGCTGAATTTACAGCACTTTGTCCATTCACCAGTTGATGGGCATTTAGGTTGTTTCTAGTTTTGGGCTATTATGAATAATGCTACTAAGGGTATTCATATGCAAGTCTCTGTGTGGACATATGTTTTCATTTTCCTTGGATATATAGGTAGGAGTGAAATGACTGTATCATATGGTAAATTTATGTTGAACTTTAAAAGAAACCGCCAAAATGTTTTCCAAAGTGTCTGCACTAGCAATTATGGAGGTTCCTGTTTTTCTATTCTTCTAGCCCTGCATCTTAATAGCTGTGGAGACTTGGGCAAACCTTAGTTTCCGCTTTAATAAAATAGGTGGGTGGAGCTGACATTTACCAAATGCCTATTCTGTGGTTAACAATCATGATAGAAGCATTTATAAGCTTTCTCTCACTTAACTCTGAGCCCCATGAAATGTAGATATTATTTTCTACATATGTGATGAATTAATATCTACATATGTCTCTGAAGTGAGGTTCAGAGAAGTTACATAAACTGGTCATCATTATAATGCAGGATTATTGTAAGGACTAAATTATATCAAATAACATATATGAACATGGGTGGCATAGTCTTGGGCATACAGAAGGTGGCTAATCAAGCAATTTGTATTTCTTTCCTTCTTGCCATCATTAGCATCTCTAGTAGGTCTAGCCACAGGGCTTTACCTATCTTCATCAGGTCCCACCAATTTTCTGGTAATAGTTGCCGGCTATGAAGCTGTCATGGCTTAGTGAAACTGAAAATCCTTTGTAGAGTTTACCCTGCAGTTCCAATTAATGAGGTGGCAGATATATCACAGAGCCAATCCCTAACTCAAATAGCATAAGCTTTGTTGCATACAATGATAAAAGCAACTAGCTCAGGATATGATTATTTTTCTTATTGGTTGTTTTTATTCTTGTCCCTTCTTACATCCTCTATTCACAATACTAGTAATTACTTTTCCAAATTCTAGAGAAGAGAGTAATGAAAAAAGTTAATGTTGCCAAGAAGTTAATTGACTTGATTAATTTGAAATGGACCTGGATCCAATGTTTGAAGATTGCCTAAGTGGAAAAAGAAAAGAGATGTAGGAAAAGAGTGTTCAATTGGTACCTTAGTCACATTCAAGAAGTTTTTGACATTAATACATATATATATATATATATATTTTAAAAATTAGTAACTTGTTATTTGTTGTATCTTTTCAGGGGGAGCCTGGGGTCAGAGGCCCTCCAGGTCCTTCTGGACCTCGTGGCATAGGAACCCAGGGGCCAAAGGTGAGTCCTCAGCTCAGTGCTCTGTGTGAGGGTCAGATACCATCAGTGACAAACAAGTCAACAGTAACTGCATAGTAAGTGTTCATATTGGTGTTGACTTATTTTTTTCTTGATGACTGATGAAAAGTCTTATTTTTGATATCAGGTAAACGTTCAGTAAAATAGAACATTTGAGTTTATAAAGCCATTCACTTCCCCAAAAGAAATGAGCAAGTCAGCCTCTCTTTAGTTGCAAAGTACTCAGAACATTTCCAGGTTTCTTAGAGTCTGTGCCATTGCCAAGAAGCACATCTTTACTTTGGCAGAGGTGCCTCAGGATACATTAACAGGTTACCTGCTAATGCATCTGTTGTGCCCTATGTGGCCACAGCTACTCTGACAGGGCCTCAGTGCAAGGGTCTAGACTGATTGTCCCTAGAGAAGACAAGAGCAACTTTTTTTGGCCCAGTTTCCCTCCTTTCTGTGTCTCCTTCAGCTTGGTGGTTATTCATCTTTTTATTCTTTTAATCCAGTGTTGCTCAAGGAGGGAGACATTGTTTCTCTTCCCTGCCTCAGGGGACATGTGGCAATGTCTAGCGGCATTTTTGGTTGTGTAGGTCAAGTCTAGAGATGCTGCCAACCATTCTACAATGCCCAGGACAGCCTCCTCTCATAAAGAGTGACCCAGCTTGAAATGTCAAAGGTGCTGAGTTTGAGAAACATGGTTTTAATTGTTCATTCACTTGCTCAACAAATTTCTTTGATTTGTTCAAAAGTAGGGTAAAGAAGTAACAAGCATGTTCAATAGGGAAAGTAGATGTCGATGAATCACTCACCACAAATTCAAATTTCGAATTGGTATATTCATGCCAAAAATGCACAGAGAGGAAAGGGAAAAGGCTTTATGAGTCAAAGATTGTACTGGCATCCCAGAATTACCAAGATTCTCAGTTTATCTTTGTTTTGTCCATCAACTCCCTTTTGGCAGTATGCTAGTTTTGAACCTTCTATATCACTTTAAATGGAGGAAGATTCCCCCAAGATGTTAGTAGTCATTTCGCTGCGTGATGGAAGATGGGTCTATTTTTCTTTTTCATTGTCATTTTTTTTTCTGTTAAAGTTTTTTTTTCAATTGGCAGGTATTCCTCTTACTATGCTTACTTGTTTTGTTGGAGGGTGTCAAAATGTTTGGAAGAGATAAGACATCTCCCTTTTAAGATGCAGAAAACTGTATGAATCAGTCAGGTGTAGTTGGACAACTTCAGGCAGTGAACTTACACTCCCTTTAAAGGTACTTCAGAGGTACTCAAGAAAAGAGTGACAATAGTGGATGTACTAGAGGGTTTATATAACAGATAATAGAAATGTATGTACAGAAAAAAAAATCAAGCTTTTTTTAATACTGGAAATAAAAAGACTGACTTAAACAATAGCTTATATTAACCTAGCATTTCTCAATGCTTCTTCCATTCAATGTTAATTTAGGAACTTCTGGGATAAGCAACATTACACTAATTTCTTTAATGTGGGACCTGTTGGAGCTGCTAATCTACTATATTAGTGTGCACTGGAGATCACCAAGGGAAAGCGTATGCTATTTTCCAATCTTATTCCACCACAAAGTCTTTCCAAAGAAACATGGGATCAGTTTATGAACACATACTGGGAAGTGCTACCCTTGCTTATTGCTTCGTCTACATATTTTCCTAAAAATTTGGACACTAATCCACATTAATATCCACTGAATCTTTAACTGCAACCCCAGTGAAGTTGCACTCCATGTTGAAAGAGTGCAACATGTTAAGGCTATGTGGAGCCACATGTCAGTGGTTTTCATATGTGGTGCAGGGCAGCCCTGGTGTTCTTGGGGTTGGTGGTAGAGCAGGAAGGGGGGCCCAGACAGATGAGGCCTGGGCCTCCATTTCTGCTTAGGCCAAGCAGCTTTGCCTACTACTAAATTTTTATTTGGATTATATGTAAGGTGTTGTTTGCAAAGAATTCTGTGGCTTAAAAATATTGGGGAAGCATTTTAAGTAAAATAGGAAGTACCTTATAGGCAGCATGAAGGTCCTGGTCAGACTGAAGTAAGAATGAAGCTGAGAGTAGCAATACTTACGTTGTTTCTTCTTCAGTCTTCTTACATTTTGTCTTCAAATTCTTCCCATCTTCTAACAGGGTGATACTGGGCAGAAAGGCTTGCCTGGCCCTCCTGGCCCCCGTGGCTATGGATCACAAGGAAGTAAAGTAAGTGAATGGGGTTGTGCTGGAGTCACCTCTTGTTTCAGCAGAGCGATGGGGAGAAGAGGTTTTAACACACAAAAAAATGGCTATTATAAAATAGATTTATTGTGAACCTAGCAGTTAAATGGCATCCAGTATTTAGAGACATCATCTGGAAGTGTAAAAATGATATGAGTATAATACTTTAACAAATGCTAAACATTATATAAATTCCTTGCCACAAAACTGAACTATTCTATGGTTTGTTGCTCTCCTCTCTTTCTGAATTGAATGGAAAATTTATACTCAGCTTCTCTCTCTCTCTCCCGCTGTCCCCCTACCTCGGCCTCCTCTGTATCCTCCATGGTAGCCCAGGGCTTCCCAATCTTAGCACACAGTGGAATCACCTGGGAGCTTTTGAGTAGTACTGATGCCTTTTTCCAGAGGAACAAAATCTGAGTCTCTGGGAGTAGAGCTTGAGTGCTGTGGTTTTCAAAGCTCTCCAAGGGATTCTTCTGAGCAGCCAGGGTGAAAACCTCTGAGGCCCTGACTCTGTGTTACTGGAATTCATAACCATCTGCATGTCACTTTGTTTCTGTGTCAGCAGCAGCAAGCTTATCCAGCATGGTAGGACTCTCAGGGTCTCTCATACTCGGCAGACAAATTTGACATCTAAAGGTTACTATGTAGTTCTAAAAAATTTCCTCTTCTAATATGTTGATGTTGTTTTTCTTATCTGTTCACTTTCTTTTTTTCCTATTCCACTGCTGCCTCCCTTATAAACTGGTTTTTAAATTTTATTATATATATAATATATATATTTTATATATAAATATTAATATATATTTATTTACCATACTTAAGCTCTGAAACTGAGTTATTCACCTCTGGATGATTGAGATTGATTCTAAAAATGTGGAAACATTCAAAATAAACTCTTTTTCAAATAGCAGAACTTCTTAGTAAGTAGGTGACAGTATGAGCTTAAGATAATACATGTAAAAATCCCATGTTGAAATTAAACCGCCTACTTCTGTGTAGAGAGAGTGAGCTTAGTCAAGAGCAGAACTCATAGAATGTATGTTAAATCTCCAGTTTTATCACACAATGTCTATAGCTTCTACAGCAGGTCTTTTAAATAACAATTGTTTATCTCTCAGGCTGAGTATCCAAGCAAAGGCCAAATAGGTATGTTGCCCATATTGCACAAGCCCTGGAAAGACAATATAGCAAAACTCTGCTTTCTCATAAACAATACCAATCTCAGACTTAATCTTTAAATTCTATGGTTAAAAGGTGGTAGCGCTGTACACAGAATTTTGCATGAGTTTGCTTAGGGAATAAACCTATGTCAAACCACAGGTCTTGTCACCAACATAAGCTCAATTCACACATGCTATTAGTGCATTATTACCACCACTTTAGACCTGGGGCTGGTTTTCTCCCCTCTCTTATCTGTGAAATACTTCCTTAATCTCATCTGGGTGGTGTTTAATTAATCCTCACCAACTGTGATTTATCTGGTTTCCTGCGCATCCTTATGCTCTCAGGGTTATGCTGTGTCCAAACTCCATCCTGCGTGAAACCCAATCCTGAAGCCTCCCATCATAAGAAAGAATCAAAATCAAAACCGCCATGTATCCTGTCTTAACAGAAATGAGATAAGCTTTTCCTTCACTTAGGACTGTAGCCTGATGCTGCTTAGCCGTGAGCCTTGACTAAGGCTTACTCATAAAACCTGGTTTCTAGGCCAGGCACGGTGGCTTATGCCTGTAATCTCAGCACTTTGGGAGGCCAAGGCAGGCGAATCACTTAAGGTCAGGAGTTTGAGATCAGTCTGGGCAACATGGTGAAACCCCATCTGTACTAAAAATACAAAACTTAGCCTGGTGTGGTGGTGCATGTCTGTAGTCCGAGCTACTCAGGAGGCTGAGGCACAAGAATTGCTTGAACTCAGGAGGCAGAGGCTGCCATGAGCCAAAATAGTGCCACTGCACTTCAGCCTGGATGACAGCTAGAGATCCTGTCTTAAAAAAATTAGCTGGGCCTGGTGGCTGGTGCCTGTAAATCCCAGCTACTCAGGCAGAAGAATCACTTGAACCTAGGAGGCAGAGGTTGCAGTGAGCCGAGATTGCACCATTGCACTTCAACGTGGGTGGCAAGAGTGAGACTCTGTCTCAAAAAAGAGCCACCCAGCACTTTGGGAGGCTGAGGCGAATGGATCACAAGGTCAGGAGTTCAAGACCAGCTTGACCAACATGGTGAAACCTCATCTCAACTAAAAATGCAAAAATTAGCCAGGTGTGGTGGCACATGCCTGTAATTCCAGTCACTCACGAGGCTGAGGCAGGAGAATCTCTTGAACCCCAGGGGTGGAGGTTGCAATGAGTTGAGATTGCATCACTGCACTCCAGCCTGGGGAACAAAGCAAGACTCTGTCTCAAAAAAAGAAAGAAAAGAAAAAGAAAAACCTCTCTAGACATATTGGACTGTCTGGCATCCAGCTGGCAGCAGGGCAGAGATACTTCCCTCAGGACTTTCAACTCATTTTCCTGACCCTGGGTTGTATTAGGTTGCTGCAAAAGTAATTCGGTTTTTGCCATTAAAAGTAATGGCAAAAACCGAGTTACTTTTGCACCAACCAAATACCCTCACGGTAAAAGGGAAGGAACTGAAAAACAAAATTGGTGGCATTCCTCTGAATCATTTCAAGGCTATAGGAAAGGTAAAATTTCATTTCTTACATTCCTTTGTTGACTTATTTCCAATCTCTTTCCAAAGAGCATTTGAGTCAGTGAAATCCGCCTCCCTTAGTGTGTCTGCTTAGTAGGCTTTGATGGAAACCTTTGTTGCTGTTAACCTTTACTACAGAAGCCTCAACCGTATTCTGTCTCTGTATCCCATTCCATTCATGGCTGAAATAAGGGCTGTAGCTGCAATCACAAGTGACTTGCTTCAGCATTCACCTAACCAGCTAGTCATTCATTCATTCAACCAACCAACCAACCAACCAACCAACCAATACTGATTGAGTACCACCTATGTTAGGCAAATAAGCCAAGTGCTAGTATAAAGTGTAAGTGAAAATATATAAACTTAATCCTCATGGAATTTACAGGCTATAAAATAATTAGACTTTGAGTTCTGGAGAGTATGGAGGGATGGCACAATGGAATGAATTGAGACTACAGCAGCAGGCAGGGCCCTTGCCAGTTCCTATAGGCCAAATAGTGAGTTTGGCCTTAATCCTAGGAGCAACTGGAAGTCAGTGAAGAATGACCTGACTTTGGAAGTTTGGAAGAGACTCACTCTGGCTACCATCTGTAGAATGAATGGACATGACTAGAAGGAATGAGGGAGTAGAAGGGCTTCCCTTTCCATGCCCACTTCCTGTTCTCTTGATTCTTCATGTGGAAGAGTATGATCTTCTGGGAACTTCTCCCTGCCTTTCCTGGGACTCTACGACCACCCAGTGCTGCTGCTGAGGCAGCTCTGATCCTGGGAAACCTTGTGAGAATGATGGGCTTGCCCCTCTTTATTTAATTCCATGGCAGCCCCCTGCCATTCCTTGACAGCCCTGCTGTGGCCCAGCTGGCTCTGCACTGCAGAGGAGCCCCAGCTCCTCCAGGGCCTCAGTGCATTTTCCTAGCCGCAAATATCTGTTGTTTAGATGGATGAATATGGGACTGTGGCTCTTTGATCCTAAAATGGCCTTGGTCTTTCAGGTTCACATTGCAGGCCAGGAAGTTATATGATACCACCATCTTGTCCCACTGTAAGCCTCCAGCACTAACCCAGATTCAGACTCTAGGTATGTCAGAAGTCCCATAGATTAAGTCAGGAGGGGGAAGGAATGGAGCTGGGTCTGGAGGGATTCCTTTATATGCCAAGTAGCTCTTGTGAGGCCAGCTTATATAGAGGCCAGGAGGGATGTGATCAGAGGGTGGATTGCCCAGGTTAAAAAAGCACAGGGACAGACATGAATGGCATCTCCCCCATTCTTTATTTCTACTTGGGAGTTATGCCAGTTTCCCTATCTCCATGCTTGTTTAAGTCAGTTCCAGTGTCCCGATCAGCCCTGACATTCCCTTAGTACTTATTTTCAGAGGACCCAGAAGTCCTTATATAAACACAATTATTGGTAGCCCTCCTTGACTTTAAAGACTTTGTGAGGTAGATTTGTGGACTGGCTTTACTGTAATTCTTGCTCTGCATGAACACTTTATTCATTGAGAGAATTAGCTTCCATACCACTGGCTTTTGTCCTTCCTGTAGGCTTGAACATGACTGATCTACCCCCAGCTAAGGTTACCTCCTGTTAGGCTATGGCAGAGGAGGGGCTATTTCACAGCTAACAAGTTTGTTGTCAGTTTTAAAAAGTAGCCTCAATGACATGCTGGGGAATTTGGTGACTTCTACCCAACAGAAACCCTGGCATCCCCAAAGCTGACAAATAGTGATTGCAGTGTTCACACAGTCACAGACCTAACAGATAACCTCTGAGACATCTGGAGCTCATAAGTGGATTGAAACTCATTCTTCATGGCCTCTCCCCCCATCTATATTCTAACCTCTGTGGTGTAAGAGAAAGAGAATGAGGGACTAATTCCCCTGTGGCTTTAGAGCTATTCAGATCTTGGCCTGAATCTGGGTTCTGATTCTTTCTAGTTGTAACCTTAGGTAAACCATTTATCTTTGTTGAATCTCAGCTTACTAATCTTTAAAATGGGGATAATATACACGGTATTATAAAAAAAATTGTATGAAGTGTCTAGGATACAGAGTGGGTATTCAGCCAGAGTGTGGGCTATGGAGTCAACAGATTTGAATCATGGCTTCTCCACTTCCTGAGTATTTTATCTCTCCCTCAGTATCCACATCTGAGTAATGGGATAATACAGTACTATTTCCTAAAGTTGTTGTGAGAAATAATCGAAATTAGATAGTATGTGTAATGCATATAATACATGGTTATATATGTGAAAAATGTTTGCAGCTATTCACATTATTATTCCTACCTGCTT